TTCAACATAATCTCTGTTGATTATAATGCATTTTTGTGCCATTAATCCAAGGATCAAAAGAGTGCCAAAAAATACAATATTACGTGGACTTTTATAAAATACTGCAATGCAAATAAATCTTGTACTGGGGCTTTTTGGCACTTTCCTGTTATCTCAGTACCTATTTTTCTTTATCTCATGAATTCAGTATTTGTGCAATGAAAAATTAGTTAATCCCATTAGTTGAAGAGAAAAGGAACTGCATCAATACCATCCAGACAAATCTTTTGGACAAGGTCATAATCACAACAACCTACCAGAAACTGTGAATTTTATTTTTCCGCATTCTGCTGAAACTGATTTTGGGAGGCAGTTAGGTGAAGTTAGGTTAGGTCAGGTTATGTTAGTTACAAATATCTTTCAATTAACATAACCAAACCTAACCTAACTTTACCTAACCACCTCCCAAAATCAGTTTCAGCAAAAACCCAAAGAAAGCAGAAACTGGTTTTGGGAGGCAGTTTATATAAAATAAGGCACAGAAAGTATAGGTACATAGATAACAGGAAAGTATGGGATTTTCTGCTAGGCAAGGCGTTTTTTACGCGGGACGCCCGCATATGATTGAGGTACAGTACAGTATCATCATGATAAAGACAGAATTGTTCCTTTGAACTATTTCAAGACTCAAAAAAAGAGGCAGGCACTAAATTGGGAACGCAGTTTTCTCCTTTTCCAGCACAGAACCATCCCAGGTGACCCACAGTTCTGTCTTTCCCGGGGCAATTAAAAAAAAAAGCAGGAAGGCGTCAAAAGCTGGCTTTCGCAGTTGCTGTTGCTTACTGGACCCATAGATGCATGGATCTCCACACAAGCATTCATATGTACAAGTACAAGGGTTGGTTCAGAAGTTCTGAGACAGATCCAACAAAGTTTCAAAAATTCAAAAAAAAAATGTCACTGGCATGTCCCCATCATTTGGCAACACTTCAGTGCCGTTAAACATACTCTCAGTCAATTTTGATACATATTTTTTGCCATAAATCCGATGATCAAAATAGTGCCAAAGAATTGAGCCCTGTTACTGCAGTTGCTTAGGCACCATGTGACTTCCGGCTGTTCCCAATACGTGTATCTGGACAGTGATGAATGACCTGAAAGGTACTGATTTTGATTAAAGGGACAGCCTCATTTCTGCTTTCAAATATCAGCTTAATCATCTGAAGTAACTCGATTTTTCGCACTATTTCGATTATTGGATTTATGAAAAAATGCATTGAAATCGGCGGAGAGAACGCTTGAACAGCACTGAAGTGCTGCCAAATAACAGGGCTACATGAATAAAAAAGAAATAAATTGCAATAATTTAAAACTCCTCTGAATCTACAGCATTTCAAAAAGTCTCAAAACTTATGAACCAACCGTCGTACCTGCACCTTTGAACTCGCTCATCTCCAGTTACGGAACAGCGGACACGGACTCGGAGGGGCGACCTGACCAAGGCACGATCGGCAATGGGAGAGAGAGAGAGAAAGAAGAAGAATGGGAAAGAGAGAGGGAGACAGAGAGAGAGAGAGAGACTAGGGGAGATGAACGAACTTAAACGCGTTGAGTCATGGACGAACTGGTCAGTCCGCAATCTCCTGGTCGATGGTGAGGTGGTGGTCGCGGAGCTCCATTCCTTTCAGTTGTTTCCAGTACCAGTACACTACAGTTTTTGAAAACGAGGCTTTTAAAAAAATCATCTTACAGTGCAGTATTTTACTGGGATTATGCGGGAATCGTTATCGCAGTGCCATAGCGGTGCGAGAGTATCGTAGTCACTATGTTTTGCTGTGCTTGTCTGCTGGAATTAGCTCCGTCTCCTTCGGATTCGTCGCGAATGTCTGCTGAATCATCATTGCCTTCAATTTGGACTAAAAAGTGTAATTTATATACATTGCTTTATTTCTTTGTAATCTTCGTAATGTACGGTATGTCGATGTGTTGGATGGAAGCCCCATTGCCACGCCTTTTTCGGTGATGAGGCGGTGACCTGAATTCAGGATTTTCGTTGCATTGAACGGAACCGGTTCCACGAAGTATTTTTCAATCTAATTTTCTGACAGAGTGGTCTCGTTAAAATCTGCCGTCATTTGCTTTTCGATGGCCCTCGTTTATTCCTAATCACGGGAAGGCGTGGTACTCCTTTTGACGTTTACTGCATTTCCGGAGCTGCTTGTCATGGTTGTGAGTAATTTAGGAGATCCGAAGGTTGACTTTCATTATGGTTGCAGGTGTCGAGCAAAACTTGGGAGAAAAGTCGTATACCCATGATACTTCCAAGTAGCTTTTTTGTCTTAACTCTAGTTGAATGAGTTTAAATGCTTTTACATACCCCGGAATCGAAAAATTGTCAGCATGATGATCATGTTTTAAGTATGCTAATCTCTTTGTCTCCGTTCAGTGATATTTTTAAAGGAGAATTTCACGTATACTCTTTGGAAAAGTGAAATTCCCACACTGTGGACTTGATTCATTCGTAGGGTCTTCTACAGGAAACATTTTCTTAAATCCTTCTCATGTGTGGGTGTGAACTGAAGCCTGCCAATCCACAACATAATTTATCACTACCCAAGTGGGGAGCTATTTTTGCTGTGACCCCACAGTAGGGGCACACCAGGGTCACAACTGGTGCATATGGGATATTCTGGGGTTACAAGTGTGCACTCCTGTAGAGGAAATTTTGTTATCATTCCAGGGCTACACTTGGTGCACAAATGTGACGTTACAGGAGTATCACACAAATGCACCAACTTTAACCTTGGTGATACTTATTTGTTTAAAAATTTGACCCTGGTGTGAACACACAATTGGTACACATTAGGGATATATATGCATGTGCAACAGAAGAACTTTGGTACACTTCAGGTGCACAGCAGGGTCACTGTGCAGAATTACAAACATATCCCCAGCGTGCACCAATTTCCCCACGCAGGTAGATTAAGTGCTGACTAACCCTTCACTGTGGTCTTCTCTTCATGAGGCGATTTTCCCCTGGATTCCTTGAAATCTATGGCACAACTTTGGTGATTTTGTTGGTAATTTGGCAATGATTTCAAGAATGCAGTACAATGATGCTTCAATGCACAACCTTGATTTGTTTTGAAACATGGTGTCCGGGTTGGTAGATTTTTGGTTAATTTCCATGTCCATTTTAAAAATTTTCAAATTGTAAATTTTCAGAAACCGTGCATTAACAATTCTTTCATTTCTTCAGCGCAGGAAGTTTCCAAATCCCTCATAACATTTGCTCATGTAATAGATGTCCTAAATTCAGCTAATTAAGGGAAAATTTTTTGGAGGCTTAAACCAAACATTTATAGTGCAGTAATAGTTGACATAGAAACGCTGAACCGTATTTAAAGCATAAACATGCTGAAAAGCCCCATTATTATATGTTTCCTGCTTATACTTGAGAAGGAAATGGCAAATGTCACTAAATTATTGCAATATGAAGTGTTATAAGCAATGCATCCATCTTTTTCATAAACTCGAAATGCTACTTTATGTTATAAAAAGTGAAGATTTCCTCACCAGGATTTTCTGATTCAAAATTATGGTTTATTGTCTGCTTTTGTGTATTAAACCTCATTCAAAGGTCGCAATTTTTGTAAACCTCATAGATATACCAAGTGATCAATTGCCCCAGGTAGTATACATAGACTGTAATTGTTGAAATTTGTGGTGCCTGACCATTTTGACTCGCCAAACTTTTGATCTGAAGTTCGTTAGTGCTCTGCGGAATCCGTTGAAGATTTGACACATTGTACTTCAATTTGAGGAGGAAATTACATGAATTATCATTAACTCATGATTTGGGTCACTGCTCTGCAACTAATGATCCACAGACCAGTGCTGGTACTCAGAACTTTTTGCTCATCCAAAAAAAAATTCTTCATGTGACATGTTCTTAGGAATTGTACAAGTCTCATCATCTTGTGGTGTCTGCAAGGAATTTGAGAATTTATTTTTTTCACACATATTCTGCAGTCAGAAGAATGAGATCACATGTTTCATTATGCATAAGTAAGTCATTTGAAAGGTTTATGGGTTTCTCATTCAATTAGTTGACACATGTTAGATAATTTTTGAGCTTTTCAAAAAACCTTTTGCCTCTAGAAAGTGGGGAGGGGGTTTGGATGCGGGAGTCTTAGTTGTGCCTTGTGAATGCTGAAAAGCAGTAAATAAAGTGTTCTGCACATTCATTCATTCATTTTAGAAAGTTTCAAACGGATTCTTTGTGAAACTGGAGTCAAATGTAGCTGTGGATGCCTTTAAAATGTCTGCTGAAACATGATGATACTGAAGTGCAACAAATTTGCCAGTCCATTGGCCCAAAAAAAGTTGAAGAACAAAGCCTTATTTGCTATAACAGGTAGACTCTCTAAAAAGTCTTGTCCACAACAATTTTCTTTTTACTGTATAATAAATTTTATTGCTTTCATGAACAGGTTCTCTACCATGAAGTAGGGGTTCTGGACAACATTCTCTCTATAATGGTGGACTCTCTCTCTCTCTCATTCTACAAAAATCTTGTTTACAACAAGTTTCTCTGTACTAAAACGTTTAATAGGGTTTTTCTGCAACAAAATTCTCTCTAAAGCAATTTTTTGGTCCCATTATTTTTGTTGTATGGCGAGTCCCCCTGTACAAAAAATTGTCTTTTGGTCCCATGGAGGTTCTCGACTATCTCATAGGAGTTTTTTGGAACTAAATTCTCTCCATAATTATTTTTTCCCCAACACCTCAACTTTTGTGTAGACTGCAGAGAGAGAGAGAAAGAGAGAGAGAGAGCCCACCTGTAATTTGATGTTTTGTGCCATGCATGATGGAAGCAGAAGCATACGGCGCCGTTTGAAGACACGGGTACTCATCCCTCGCCATCAGCCCATTTGGGCGTGCTTCGATGGTGTACTGTACAGTACTTGGGAACTCTGCCCCAGTCATCCACGTGTCCCAGTGGATGTTTGAGCGATGAGTCACCCTATAGAGTCTTCCGTGTTCCACAAGGTGTTCTCGTCCCACTCCTGGCCCTCGCCAGCAGCTGGCGAGACTCGGGCGTGGGCGTCGCCGCGGAACGGCGCCTTTATAGCTCCAGGCCATAAAAGGCGTCGCAGGGACGACGGCGCAGACACTTCCTTCACCGCCCACGGACCCACTCGGTGTTGGTGGCGGTTGTGAGTCGGCAGAGGCGTTCTCTGCTCTGTGACCTGGTTCCCCACACTTCATCTCGCGCAGGAAAGTAGAACGCGGCTCTGGAGATCGTAAAAGCTTGACTCACAGCTGCGCTTGCACCATCCGTTTTTCTTGCGCAAGCCACGGACGGACGCGGGCGCCTCGGTCAGCGTTTCGGGTCGCCGGTGCTGGGACTGACTCTGTTTCCTTCCCACTGGAATGTCCGCGTTTTGAGAGAGAAAGACATAGAGAGAGAGAGAGGGAGAGAGAAATAGCATTTCTTTCCAGCTTGGCGGTATGCTGCTGGGGCTTCCTCTTCAGTCTACAGTCTACTGTGACCTGCCTCTTGGCTGATTGCCTCTCAGCGAGACTAACCTAACCTGTACACCTCTGACCAAAAAGGGAGTGCTCATCTGTGGTTTTTATAATACTGCATTCCAAAGTGTGCTGGATTTTATTTCAAGGCTCTGTTATTGCCTTCCTTATATGAGGCACCATAACACATGAGTTACGGGTGTGCTGTGGGAATAAAGTTTTCTGCAAAATACTGTACTGCGAGACAAAGCCAGGTGAGCATTTAAACTGAACACGAGTTTTCAGATTTCATATTCTGACGAGAAAAAAATGGGTTGTGCCACTTGAACAGCAGCCCAATGAAGGAGTGAGTCGTTCAAGAAAAGTTGAAGGTTATGCCTCCGGAAGGCAAATGAAATTTAACTTCGCAAAGTCAAACCTTTTTAGTTAGCATAGTTGATTCCTGGTCACTTCCCCTTATTCAATTTAAATTTAAACATCCTTAAATCAATTTTCAGGCCAAATCTTTCGTATCCAAATTCGCAAGGCCTTTTTGTCATTAAAAAACAAATGGTGTTTTTCATGTTCTCAACCAATGGATCAAGCATCTTCGTCTTGGTAGTACAGTACATCTATGAATAATGAAGAGTCCTGTTAACTTGGCCAGAGAATACTTACTATGTATTTATTAACTCACCCAAGTGAAGCCAAGTCCCTGACTCACAAACTCTTCAAGCTGATTATTTGGAGACCCTTCAAATTGAAGTTATACAGGTTGAGCTGACATACTGTGCGTACACTTTTAGTTTGAAAATGTTGGCCACACCGATGTTATGCAGATTTTTTCCATGTTCAGCAGTATATTCAAAGCAGGCAAACCTCTCTGAGTCAAACTTGATGGGACCAGCAAAAACTGAGCTTTCAGGATGCGGAATTTTATTACAAGGGTGAAATTTCCCAATTAAACACTCAAGTCCTTCAAAAGAAATCTAGTGAGATTTGTATTGCTCTTGCCTTTTCCTTTGACCCCACAATATTATGTCAAAAAGGTGTAAAAAAATGTATTTCATAGAGGTTCCAGAGGAAAGCCTTGGAGTTGGTGAGTTCTAGCTAGCAGCAGTGTTCTTAAGGGACTTTTGACAGGACAGGACAAAGAAATTGACATGAGGGTGTTTTGACTTAGGGAGGTTTGGATGTAAAAAAAATTATGCTTAAATCTATAGGAAACCATGCTTTGTCATATTTTCAAATTTCAGCATAAAAAATCAATCCAGAGAAGCTGAATTCCTGTTCAAACAATGAAAGTGCATAGCTCCAACACACTCCCTGCAAATAATTTGGGCGTTTCAAAATGCGTTTTTTACGCATTTCTAGCCAAAAATGCTACGCATTTCANAAGTCTGCGTTCAACTGCCCGGGGAACCGGAGGCACGTGGTCACGCCGGACATGGTGAGCGACACCAGGTGATTGAGATCCCCGTATGTCGGGGTGGATAGTTTCAGGGTGCGAAAGCAGATGTCGTACAAAGCCTCGTTGTCGATGCAGTACGTTTCGTCCGTGTTCTCGACGAGCTGGTGGACGGAAAGCGTGGCGTTGTAAGGCTCAACGACAGTATCGGAGACTTTCGGTGACGGAACGACGGAATAGGTGTTCATGATCCTGTCTGGGTACTCTTCTCGGATTTTGGAGATCAGTAGGGTGCCCATGCCGGAGCCAGTGCCGCCGCCGAGCGAATGGGTCAGTTGGAAACCCTGGAGACAGTCGCAGCCTTCTGCTTCCTTCCGGATCACGTCGAGGACCGAGTCGACCAACTCTGCGCCTTCTGTGTAGTGGCCCTTGGCCCAGTTGTTGCCGGCTCCGGATTGGCCAAAGACGAAGTTGTCTGGACGGAAGATTTGCCCAAATGGGCCGGAACGAACGCTGTCCATGGTCCCGGGCTCAAGATCCACGAGAATGGCTCGAGGCACGTACTTCCCGCCACTGGCTTCATTGTAGTAGACTGAAATCCGCTCCAGCTGCAGCTCCGAGTCTCCGTGGTAAGCCCCGGTCGGGTCGATGCCGTGTTCGTCGCTGATGATTTCCCAGAACTGGAAGAAAGAAAAAGCAACATGAGCACACAATAATCCAGATATCCAGCAATTCAATGTGCAGCACAGTACTGTTCAGTACTTCACAACCCATGATTATGATTATATGATTTTTCATCAAAGATTCTCTGTAATTTGTTCATTCAACTAGACCTCATACAGAAACAAGCTGAAGACCTTGTGCTTCAAATTAATTTTTACATATATTTTGTTACCAATGTCAGAGAATGAATGGGTGTATACATGCATGTCAGATGTCCAGTTGTATTTCATGTTGCATTGTATTTTCTTGTATTTTTGTTAGCAATTTGTGCTTTCCTGCTCTGAAGTGATTAAAATGTCATTGAGTGGATTTGGGTTGGGAGGGAAGGGGGGTTTGGTTGTGGAAATCTTGAGTGAACCTTGTGAACACTGAAAAGTGGCAAGTAAAGTGTTCTGTTCATTCATTCATTCACAACCCAATGTTTCCCCTCTCACAATTGCCCAACATCTTTTTCCCCTTTGGCTTGAAATTGGCCGCAATAACAATGCCCCTGTTATAGAATAAATATAGTCAAACCTCTCCAAGTCGAATTTCACAGGAACAGCAAAAAAATTTGACTCAGGGAGGTTTTGGATTGAGCTACAATACAAAGCCCTTTTTTTCTGGGAAACAAAAAAATTGCCCAAAATTTTAAATTGTGATATTCTGGGGCTGAAGTTAATTTTTCAATGAGTTAAAAGATGCTGAACTTGGAGGCAGGGGTTCATTTGCCCGATTAAATTTTTCAGTTCCTTTTAAAGCAAATTAATTTATGTTTTTAATGCTTTTTTCTTTCGTCTGTCAAAAAATAAAAGCCAAAAGGCTACAGAAAATACAAGAAAATACAATGCAACATGAAATACAACTGGACATCTGACATGCATGTATACACCCATTCATTCTCTGACATTGGTAACAAAATATATGTAAAAATTAATTTGAAGCACAAGGTCTTCAGCTTGTTTCTGTATGAGGTCTAGTTGAATGAACAAATTACAGAGAATCTTTGATGAAAAATCATATAATCCTAATCATGGGTTGTGAAGTACTGAACAGTACTGTGCTGCACATTGAATTGCTGGATACCTGGATTATTGGGTGCTCATGTTGCTTTTTCTTTCTTCCAGTTCTGGGAAATCATCAGCGACGAACACGGCATCGACCCGACCGGGGCTTACCACGGAGACTCGGAGCTGCAGCTGGAGCGGATTTCAGTCTACTACAATGAAGCCAGTGGCGGGAAGTACGTGCCTCGAGCCATTCTCGTGGATCTTGAGCCCGGGACCATGGACAGCGTTCGTTCCGGCCCATTTGGGCAAATCTTCCGTCCAGACAACTTCGTCTTTGGCCAATCCGGAGCCGGCAACAACTGGGCCAAGGGCCACTACACAGAAGGCGCAGAGTTGGTCGACTCGGTCCTCGACGTGATCCGGAAGGAAGCAGAAGGCTGCGACTGTCTCCAGGGTTTCCAACTGACCCATTCGCTCGGCGGCGGCACTGGCTCCGGCATGGGCACCCTACTGATCTCCAAAATCCGAGAAGAGTACCCAGACAGGATCATGAACACCTATTCCGTCGTTCCGTCACCGAAAGTCTCCGATACTGTCGTTGAGCCTTACAACGCCACGCTTTCCGTCCACCAGCTCGTCGAGAACACGGACGAAACGTACTGCATCGACAACGAGGCTTTGTACGACATCTGCTTTCGCACCCTGAAACTATCCACCCCGACATACGGGGATCTCAATCACCTGGTGTCGCTCACCATGTCCGGCGTGACCACGTGCCTCCGGTTCCCCGGGCAGTTGAACGCAGACTTGAGGAAGCTGGCTGTCAACATGGTGCCTTTCCCCAGGTTGCACTTCTTCATGCCCGGGTTTGCCCCACTCACGGCCCGAGGCAGCCAGCAATACAGGGCCTTGACTGTGCCCGAACTCACGCAACAGATGTTCGACGCCAAGAACATGATGGCAGCTTGTGATCCGCGTCACGGACGCTACTTGACTGTCGCCGCCATTTTCCGCGGGCGCATGAGCATGAAGGAAGTCGACGAACAAATGCTCAACATCCAGAACAAGAACACTTCTTACTTTGTGGAATGGATCCCCAACAATGTGAAGACCGCGGTGTGTGACATCCCACCTCGAGGCCTCCGCATGTCCGCCACGTTCATCGGCAACTCCACGGCCATCCAAGAGCTCTTCAAGCGCATTTCCGAGCAGTTCACGGCCATGTTCCGTCGCAAGGCCTTCTTGCATTGGTACACCGGCGAAGGCATGGATGAAATGGAGTTCACCGAGGCCGAGTCCAACATGAATGACCTGGTTTCCGAGTACCAACAGTATCAAGAAGCCACTGCCGACGAAGAAGGCGAATTCGAGGACGAGGAAGGCGAGGAGGAACAGGACAAGGACTGAAGAGATACGATGGCTGCTGTATCACACTGATGGCTAACCAACTCTTCGATGTGCCCTCTTCATTCCTCTGTGATGATTTTGGGATTCTTATGATGGCGTGAAGAATGAGAAGGAATAACACGCGAAACTTAGAGGCTTACGCTCTTAATATCTGTCTCTAAATGATTGCCATGCCATTCCTGCAACGGATCATTTCATGTTTTCAGCAATGATTGCGTAAAAAAAAAAAAAAAAATGAAAAGAGATGTTCAATGACCTGTTGCACTTGGGTGTGTTCATGCACGCTTTTAAATTGCTATTCAGAATATACTGTAATGGCTTGCAGAAGTGTCGCTTCTTCCTCTGAAGTCAAAGATTTTTTTTACTTTAAAGGGGACCAATCAATGGTCAGGAGGAAGAACTAATGGAATTTATTCACCATGGCCTTTTTGAGACTCGTCTAACGTTATTGGAGCTTGAGTGGATATTTTCTGACTGTTTAGTACTGCATTGTAATCTGTGTTACTTTTGTGGTGTTCAGGATGGGATTTCTTGCAGTAAATGAACAAATGTCTTACTTATGCATGTTTTTTCTTCTTTAATGGAGGTCCGAATGGACCCATTAAAGGACCCATTGATTCAGGAAATACCTGTTCCTGACTTTGATGGTGTATTTGAATCATCAAAAAAGCAGTCATGTGGATTTCATTCCATTATGAGCATGTACACTTGGAAGCGCTAGTCCTATAGATAGAGTATAGACAAGTTAGTGAAGCTTCATTTTGATGGTAACTGGATGGTGGAAACCAGAGGACTTGATTTTCTGCAGGTTTTATCTGGCATGTGTGACCACTTTGTGCAAGTTCAAATTTGTTAAACTTTCAGATCAAAATGAACCTTTTATCCAAGTTGAATGGGAATTATTTGAAAAATGGCTAAAGATTATACAGAGATTTCACACTATTTGGGGAATGAAACCAATAAACCATAATATCTATCTTCATATTCAGCAATGAAAGTTTTTCATTACTGAATGAATTTTTCAAGTAAGGTAACTAAATATTTCAAAACTTTGTTCAATTTTATTCTCTCCTAGAATATAGCCTCGAAAAAGTGCCCTTGATGGGTACTTTTGAATTAAAAAAAAAACTCAAGCCTATCGAAGTATAATTCAGAGGGACACATAAAAACGGATAATTTATTTCAGGCCAGTTAAAATTGTATGTGATATACAATATATACAGGGTGGGCAAAAAAAGTGATCCGATTTTTGATGTATGATATCTCAATCTGTAAAAAAAGCTAAAACAATGAAAAACACTGAATGAAAGCTTATTCAATTCTCTTTCAAATAGTGTTTTGTTTTACAGTTGTAAGTGTCATCAATTGGTCGCAAACAACATTTGAATGAAAAACTTTCAACAAAAAAATGTTGCCATACATCTCATCCTGCTAAGCTGCTGCCTCCAAAACTTCCCAAAAATTACCCTAAAGTTAGGACAACCCATATCAGTGCATCAGAAACAAAATCAAAGATAATTACAGACAGGAAAAAAAATAAACCCATACAAACCCACCCAGGAAAAAGCCAACAGGAAGCACAAAAATCATCATGCGCATGCACAAAAACCCAGGATCAGGGCACCAGACAACCACCCAATCAGCTCAGTGAACATTCATTGGAAGATGAGCTGAAAAAATCATACCTGGGTGGACAAAGCAATGCCTAAAAATCCTGCAATGGTTCAGAGAGAAAAAAAAATTCCTCACTGGGAGCAGTGAAATATCCCACTCATGAACTTTTTTCACTGACTGCTACCTTTTCTTGTGAATTTTTGGGAAATTGGGTACACTTTGAAAGGTATTATGGATTTTCTGGATAAGTTTCTGCACCCCACATCAATAAAAACTGTGGGGCTGGAGCCCTGGTGAACAACAGCTGTGAGGGAAACTCCAATGCAAATGCACCTACCCCGCTGCAACTCAAGGACCCCAAACATTTTCTGGACCAAATGCAGTCCCCAAGGAAAATGCCTTGAAAGTTACAACAGGAATGAACTTTTTTTTTCTCTGTGGACCATGGTGGGATTCTTAGGTATTGCTTTGTCCACCCAGGCATGATTTTTCCGGCTCATCTTCCAATGAATCTTCAGTGAGCTAATTGGGTGGTTGATAACTAGTTTTTTGGACAGTTTTCAATCAAATGGCTTTTGATATCATACCGCAGCACTTAAGACCATAGAAACCATTTGAAAGGGAATTGCAAAAGCTTTCATCTGGTGTTTTTTTCATTGTCACTGCTCAATTTGCTATTGAGCTATTTCAAGTCAAATATTGATGCATTTTTTTCTGGCCAACCTGTATATGTAAACATTTTTTGTTGTTGTATCAAATGAGAGCTGTTTAAAACTTGGTACTTGATGGTAGGGCAACAAGGTGAAAATGTCTTCTTCCGGTCTGAATCTGACCCTTAACTGGTCAAATGAATCTTTCTCTTACTACTGATTTGGCATTATTTTTGGAAAGGCACAGTACAAAATCGAGTAGGAGGAATCAAACTAGCTGTTGGTTGAAAATTAGTGGGTGCCCATTCGCAAGGACCAATTCTATTTTATGCGGAAGCGACACCTATACAACTTGCGCATGAAATTGGTTCACTGCTTACTGCTCTGGCTGTAGGTGTTGCATTTGTATGGAGAACATCTGGTCCTTGGTATTACAGTTCAGTAGTTTAAATAAACGGTTTCAAAAACCTTACAGTGCACTGAGTATTTTTAGTCAACTACTCATTCTTATAGAAGTGCAAGTAATTTCAAAAAATTTCCCCTGCAAATTTTTTTTTTCAAAGGAACCACTTGATTGGTTCGACATATCAGAAGTTTGTTACCTTCCTGTTCACATACAGTACAGTATTGTTCAAATTGGCGCTAAATCTGCGGCAGTTTGTTGATTCAAATTTAAAACAATCCCACATATACTGTTCAGGACAGTAGACTGCCAATGACACTTTACTCTCTAACTCAAGTCCAAAGAATATACCTAATTTTTTCTGATACCGCTGGTGGATTTTCCTTTTCGCCTTCTGGAAGAGGGAACAAAAATCTTATCCAACAGGCATGCGAGTGCATGTGGTGCACAAATAACGATGTGAACATACCTGCACCTGAAAATGATTCAGAGCAGTAGCAGAATAATGCGACTTTTTCAGTGTAGTGAAATTACATCCTTCTGGATGAGACAAAGAACACAGAGCTGATTTTTCTGGCTATTCCTGGTCTGCCGGAGAATATTGTCCAGACGTTTCAAATGCTTAACATATGCATTGTGGATCTATATTGATTGTTGAGAGGTAGATGGGTTGTCAAATTCCATCAGATTTGGTAAAGTTCAGCGTCATCCGTGAGACCTGTGATATACAGTGGGGTCTCAGCATTATGCCTTTATACATGCTGACAATTTGAATTATGCACTTTAAGGTCAAAGAATACCCTCCAAGCTCCAACATCTGGAAAATGGTGAAGATATGGACACTTCACAAATATTTCCAGAAAAAATGCGATTACCCGTCTTGCACAAATACAGTTATTGCCCTATAAATACACTCAAAATAAATGCTTATAATTTTCTGAATTAACTTTCAGTACATTTGAAAAAAAATTGGCTGATTTCTTGCTTTTCTTTTCTGATTTTTCCCGTCCATTTTGCACAATAAAGAAGTACATTACTGTACAGTACGTTTCCTTGTTTTTATTGTTGTTCTGGGCTACTTTCTGCCCTATCAGATGCAGTGGTCTTCTGCGAAGTTATATTATAAGTTACAAATTCGAGAAAAATAGTTGTATTCACTTTCTTGAAGGGCTTTCTCTGATTTTTTGCCAAACAGAAGAGATGCTTGAAAATGCTCCAATGTACATCTATGGTTAAAAAGTTATATGCTCGTGTGGACGTTTTGACATGTGGGCACTCTCTGTGAATGAATCATGGTCACATCTCAGGACCTCACTGCATTCAGCAGTTTAATTTCAAAAATCATATTTAAACTTTCCAATGGAATATGTGAGTTGGCTTCAGAAAACATGTTGCTGTGGATTTAAAAATGGACATAAATAGGCAAATGAGGTCTTGAATTGTAGATAACTTCATTGTGGAGCCTTGGCATATTTTTATATAATCTTTATAGGGGTTGTATTTTTTTGGCAAGACAAAAAGTAGTTGGAGTCCCAAATGGGGCCCACCGCAGGTAATGGGTGTTTGAATGAAGCTAATGAATCAACACATGTGCAATATGTCTCAAAAATACATTTGGTTCCTTACTCATACTGACGTAGTTTGGGCTTGTCACTTCTCCGATTGATTCCTGTCCAACGTCAGCCTTTTAATTGATCTTAAAAGCATCGGATCAGAGACAGCAAAATTTTGATTAATCGAAATGACCAAGACACGTTTTTTTCCACAAAAAACCAAGATGAGCTCTTGTTTCCCGAAAAAAACATCGTTGTAGGTCCAGAAAATCAACGTAAAATAAAACCAAAATGAGGAACACTGCTGACGCCGTTCATATTTATACACGTGGCATGTCACCTACATATGGCATCCGACAACGTTCGAAAAGCAAAATAAAGTATACAACAGCATACGAATGCTCGAGTTCTGCTTGAACCACAATCCGCTGCCAAGGCATTAGCATTCACTCACACGTGGTTGCAGTCACCAGGTTCGATTAAAAAAGACAGGAGGCAATTGTCCCCGGATACAAACGGATCCCGCATGGGAACAAACACTTTGAAGGCAAAAAAAAACACAAACACAAAAAAGCAATCAATTACGCGCCTCCGTCATCAAAACAGTGATGTTCATGCGCGAAACGCTTACCCAGTAAAAAAAATGAACATGAACTAACAGTTCGAAACACACTTGATCGAATAACACGTATACCTCAGGCTCTCGACAATGAAGTTCCCATACGTCCAACATTTCCGAACTGCGCCGCAGTACGACGAAAATCGACTCGGCTTCATAAAAAAAAAAAAAAAAACAATACAACAAAAACAAGCAAATGAATTTGCAAGCGTTATTTTTTTCCTGCCGAATCGTGAAGCTGTAACTCGAATTGCTCCGCCACACATTCCCTCACCTTCCTGACTAGCATGACCACTATTAAAGCATGTCGGCCATTCGGTGGTATGTGTTACATTCCCGCATTCGGCGGGCTAAATTTTGGCAGGCATCAGAAACTGCTCATATTCTCTTTCTCCTATAAAAACACCGCATTTCTTCTCGATGGATCGTCAAACAAACAAAAAAAGTATGAACGAAATTGTCATGGGCGCTCGAAGAAACGCCAGAATCGCTTGCTAAGCTCAGTGATAGGAAGAAACTTTCCCCAGAACATCAACCGCCCACTGAATGTCTTTCGCTTCCGAAAATATAGCTTAGGTTTTGATTTTCAAGTTTGGATGATGAGAGTTTTCGTCTGACGGACTTTCGTGGTCCATGAATGCTCACTTAACCTTCTGAAACGAGGTTCATCTCACGTTTCAGTCAATTTTTCAAGCGCTTTTACAA